AAAACTTCTAATAATAACATTCGCCTGACGGTCAAAAGGAAAAGGATTTTCTGCTGCATTTCTTTTCTTCTCCTCCTCGAGTTTTGTAAGAGTTTTAAAGGTAGCAATTTACGCTGGAGGTTACGGTGCGGCGCCATTTTCGTTACCGCTTACCGCTGTACTGACTACTGTGCGAACCCTGAATTAAGTTCGACTCTGGCATGACGTCTGAATTGAAGTCGTGCTTGTGCCGTGCCTCTGTCGAACCCCATATTAATTAGGTTCGGCACGGCAGAAGCACGACGTATGAACTGGGCCTTACTTTTCCAGCCCCGCCGCCAGAGCGCCCCGGAGAGCTTACGTACTCGCCGGCTACTGAACCTCAAGGCAATTTATTTTGTTCAAGATACGAAACTATTCAGTCGACTCGAAATCCCGGCGAAAACTCCAGATTTCTCAGCTGCGCTGTCTGTTACTTAAATTAACTTTGAATACATTCCCCCTTTTTTCCTCAAAGAAAGTGGATGAAATGAAATACACCAAGAGCACGAAAGCTGTCTCCTTATCAAATATTGTGTATTCATCAGAATTTGTTTTCCTTTAGACTGAGAAATGACTTCATTGCGCAGACTAACAAAAAAATTGTTTCTGGTATCGATCTTGGCTTTTGCTTTGTACGTCGGAATGGTTCTTTACCACGTGTTCAGCTCAACAGAACACTTAACGCGATCTAAAAAAGCTGGTGGATTGTTCAATAATGCAGTTTCCGTCCCGCAAGCCTTTTCACCTACAGCTTTGGATTCCTTTATTAAAACGCGGACTTTGAATATTTCAACGACGCATGCCCCATTAAAGGAGATAATAGACAGAAGTTATGACCAAACAGATCCCGGCCTAAAGCAAAGCCAACCCGAAGTTGCTTTAAAAGAAGAATGCCAAGAAAATAGTTCCCTTTTGGGTAAGTTTTATCAAGTGTTTTATCGCGTAAGATTAAGATTTAAGATTTCAGCTTAAGCTAAGATTTTCTAGTAAAATTAAATTCATAAAATCATACTAAAAAATCTTTACAGATATTTTCCAACAAAATGCATTTAAGGAAGCACGCGCTGCCAAAGATGGTCGCACATGGAGGTTCGACTAGCTGTATTGAATTTTACAATCAGAAAATATATAATCATTGTTCATTTTTGTCAGCTGGACCTATACCTCTGGATTTGTCAATACCAAAAATGGATGATATTGAGAGGCAAATTTCTCGGGATTTTGACGGCTGGGTCAGCAATGGCGGAATTTGGAGGCCAGCAGAGTGTGAAGCGAAGGTCAAGGTGAGCCATAATATATCACCCAGGATCGGGTTGTGTGAAGGGTTATTAGCACTAGTCCGTGATGATGATGATGATAATAATAATTAATGAATTAATAATAATAATAATAATAATGAGGATAATAATCGTTTATTTAACAGATGCCAGGAGCCCATCAAATTTGATGGACTCCTGCAGATGCCCTTTCTTTTCTGTTAAATTACATAAAAAATAAATAAAATTACGTTATTCACAATTGAAAAACAAGAGTGATGTATAAAAAAAGTAGAAGCATTACTGACTAACATATTTGAAGTGAATGTAAAATTAACTAATCACTCTGTACTCTATTACATAAAAGTTTCCTTGAAAGTTTTTAAAGCTTCTGTAATCTCAGTACAGTTTCTAATAAATTCTGGTAGATTGTTAAATAGCTTCGACGCATTATCTTGGAAAGTGTTGTTTTCGGTCCGGAAAGCTAATCTAATGGCATTGCTTGAGCGTATGCAGTTCCTTGCGACATTAATGTTTTACTATTATTAGATCTGGCCATGATTAGTTACCACTGCTACTCAATGCTAAGGCTTACCAGCCTCGTCCCTAGGGCTCTTCTTTACTATTTTCTCAAGGATAAACCCTAGGCTCTGGGGACGAGGTTGAAGGCTTACATAAGGGCTCCAGGCCACAGAAACGCCTAGGCGGATCTCACTCTGGTAAAAAGTCATTGCCACTCTTAAGACACGTAGAAAATTTTAATCTGTCAAATTTAAAAAGTCGCTCGTTTCTAAGAAAGAAGTTCACAACCCAAAATAGAATCCCGGCCATCTCTCCTGCGCCATTTCAA